CCACAGACCCTTTTGATTACAGAGGATCATCAGAACCTACTTTGAAAATTTATACTCCAATAAACTAGAAAATCTGAAAGACACTAATAAAGTTTTAGGCATATATATGACCTACCCAAATTGAATCAGGAAGATAGAGAAAACCTAAACAGACCAATATCAAGAAATGAAATTGAAGCAGCAATTAAAAATTTTCCAAAAAAGAAAAGCCTAGGACCAGATGGATTTATAACCAAGTTCTATCAGACCTTTACAGAAGAACACCAGTCTTTTTCAAATTATTCCATAATATTGAAAGGGAGGGAACACTCTAAATACTTTATATGAAGCTGGTATAATCATGATACCAAAACCAGACAAAATACATCAAGGGAAAAAAAAAAAAACTGTAGACCAATATCCCCATGAACATCAATGCAAAAATCTTTAATAAAACATTGTCAAAACATCAAAACCAGATTTTGAAAAAAAAAAGGTAATACATTATGATCTCAAGGATTTCATTCCAGGAATTCAAGGTTGGTTTAACATATGCAATCAATAAATGTAATTCCCCACTCAAACAGAATTAAGGACAAGAATCACATTATCATCTCAATAGATTCAAAAAAGACCTTTATCAGACCTTTATTTATCAGACCTTTATTCAGAAAAGACTTTTATCCAAGTCCAGCACCCATTCATGTTAAAAACACTGGAAAAGCTAGGAAATCAAAGGACCTTACCTCAACATGTTAAAGGCCATTTCTGACAAACCCAAAGTCAACATCATACTAAATGACTAAAAACTAAAGGCTTTTCCTTTAAAATCAGGAATAAGACTATCTACTCTTACCACTCCTATTCAATACAGTCACTGAAACATTAGCCAGAATGATCAGGCAAGAAAAGGAAATCAAAGGGATACAAATAGGAAAAGAAGTCATCAAACTATTTCTGTTTGCCAACAATCTAATCCTATGTATCTAGAAGACCCAAAAAACTCCACCAGAATACTTCTAGGGCTTATAAATGAGTTCAGCAAAGTTGCAGGATATGGGATCAACACGCAAAAATCAATAGCTTTCCTATACTCCAACAGTAATTCAGCTGAGGAAGAAATTAGGAAATCCATCCCATTCAGAATTAACCTATTTAAAAGGAAAAAAAAAAAAAAACTTTGGGAATTAATCTAAGCAAGGAAACAAATAAGCTTTACAGTGAAAAATTATAGAACACTGCAGAAAGAAATTGAAGAAGACCTTAGAAGATGAAATGACAACCCATGTTCTTGGATAGGCAAAATTACTATTGTCAAAATGGCCATACTACCAAAAGCAATATACTATTCAATGCAAACCCCATCAAAATATCAATGACATTCTTCAAGGAATTAGAAAAGACAATTCTTAAGTTCATTTAGAAGAAAAAGAGACCCAGGATTGAGTGGCTTAGTGGTAGAGTACTCACCTAGCATGTGCAAGGGCCCCAAGTTCAATCCTCAGCACCACACAAAAATAAATAAAATAAAGGTATTATGTCCAACTACAACTAAAAAATATATATTAAAAAAAAAGAAAAAAAAGAAAAAAAGACCCAGAATAGCTAAAGCAGTACTAAGCAAGCAAGAAAAACAAAGCAGAAGGTATCACCATACCTGGCCTGAAATTAAATTATAGAGCTATAGTTTTAAAAAAAAAAAAGCATAGTATTGGCATCAAAATAGACATAAAGACCAATGGAACAGAATAGAAGATACAGAGACAAATCCACATACCTACAGCCATCTGATATTTGACAGAAGTACCAAAAATATATTTTGGAGAAAAGACAGCCTTTTAAACAAATGGTGCTGGGAAAACTGAATAGCAATGTGTAGAAAAATTAAATTAGATCCCTATCTCTCACCCTGCACAAAACTCAAATCAAAATGGATCAAAGAGGACTGGGGTTGTAGCTCAGTGGTACAGTGCTTGCCTAGCAAGTGTGAGGCTCTGGGTTTAATCCTCAGAACCACATAAAAATAAATAAATAAAAGTTACCCATCTACAACTAAAAATATATATATTAAAAAAAATGGGCTGGGGTTGTGGCTCAGCGATAGAGCACTCGCCTAGCATGTGCAAGGCCCTGGGTTCGATCCTCAGCACCACATATAAATAAATAAATAAAGGTATTTTGTCCAACTACAACTAAAAAATAATTTAAAAAAAATGGATCAAAGACTTGGGAATTAGACCAGAAACCTTGCAATTAGTAGAAGAAAACATAGGCTTAACACTCCATCTATAGATGCTGGCACTGACTTCCTCAAAAAGACCCCCAAAGCACAAGACCCCCAAACCAAGATCACTAAGTGGGACCCCATCAAACTGAAAAGCTTCTATATAGCAAAGGAAAGGATTAAGAATATGACAAGAGAGCCTACAAATGGGAGAAAACCTTGGCCAGCAGCTCCTCCAATAGGGGATTAATCTCCAGAATGAACAGAGAACTCAAAACACTTAACACCAAAAGCAAATAACCTAGGCAATAAGTGAGCAAAAGAACTAAAACAAACTTTTCAAAAGAAGAAACACATGCAGCCAATAAAGCTATGAAAAAATATTCAGCATCTCTAATAATCAGGGAAGTGCAAATTAAAACTACACTAAGACTTCATCTCTTTTGAGTCAGAATGGCAATGATCAAGAATATGAACAATAACAAATGCTGGCAAGATTGTGACAAAAAAGGTTACACTTGTTCATTGTTGGTGGACTGCAGATGAGTACAACCACTCTGGAAAGCAGTATGGAGATACCTTAAAAAACTAGGAATGGAACCACCACATAACCCAGCCGTCCCACTCCTTAGTATGTTCCCCCCAAAGATTTAAAATTGGCATACTATAGTGATACAGCCAACTTGATATTTATAGCAGCACAATTCACGATAGTTAAATTATGGAATCAATCCAGGTATCTGTCAATAGATAAATGAATTAAGAAATTGTGGTACATACATACAAAGGAGTTCTACTCAGCCATAGAAAAGAATGAAAATACGGCATTTGCTGGTAAATGGATGGAAATGGAGAATATCGTGAAATAAGCCAAACTCAGAAACTCAAAGGTCAAATGTTTTCTCTCATATGTGGAAGCTAGAGTAAAGTAAAGAAAAGGGGGAGGGAAGGAGAGGATAAGATAAAGATAAAGGGAAGATCAGTAATGCAGAAGAAGGAAACTGAGAGGCAGAATGTAGGGATGGGTAAAGGAAGGCAATGCAGAATGAATTCTTAAAAACGCATGTTAAGTGCATATATAAATATCCCACAGGGAACTTCACCTTTATGCATAGGTAGAAAGAACCAATCAAATATAAACAGATGAGTGAAAGGAAATCTAGTAGAGTAGAGGAAGGAGAATGGGAGAGAATGGGGATGAGGGGAAGAAGGAGGGATCAGGAATTGAAATTAAATTCCATGCATGTAGGAGTTTGTTTGGATGAACCTAACTACTATGTGTAACTACAAAGCACTAATAAAAGAATACCAAAAAAAAAAAAAATTATAAAAAACACAAAATGGATCACAGGCTTAAGCTTAAGTGTAAAATCTAAGAATACGAAATTTATAGAGAATAACACAAGAGAATCTTGGGAAACTTGGGCTAGATGAAGTGTTAGCCATGACAACAAAAGATGACTCAGAAAAGAAAAAACTGATAAACTGGAATGCATCAAAATTAACCTCTGTGAAAGGCCTTACTCAGTAAGAGGATAAAAAGATAAGCTATAGACCACATATCTAACAAAAGGTTCATATCTAAAACACATATATAAAACCTCTTAAAACTCAACTTAAAAATAATACAATCATGGGGCTGGGGTTGTGGCTCAGAGGTAGAGTACTCGCCTACATGCGTGAGGCACCGGGTTCGATCCTCAGCACCACATAAAAATAAAATACTGTGTCCACCTATAACTAAAAAATAAATAAATAATGAAACCATTAGAAAAACTAGAAAAGATAGGAAGAAACATTCCACTTAAGAGGATACTCAGAATGCAAATAAGTAAATGAAAAGATTAAACATCACTAGCAACTAAGGAAATGCAAATTAAAACCACAATGAGACACCACTACACACATAGGAACAGCTAATATAAAAAATAATGACATTTTCAATTGCTGGTAAGGATCAGAGAAAATGAATCACTCAGATATTACTGGTAGGAAAGTAAAAATGGGAGTCACTAGAAATAAGTTTGTTAGGATTTTTTATTTTTTTAACTAAACATATATTTGCCATACATATGACCCAGAAAATGCACATTTGGGCATTTATCCCAGAGAAATAAAATCTTTTGTTTGCATGGCAACTTGTTCATAGTGTTCAGGGCAGTTTTACTGGTAAAAGTCAAACACTACAAACAACCAAAATGTCCCACCATAGGTTAACGTCACTCAAACTCAAAAGATTATATGCTGTATGATTCCATTTATATGACATTGTTGAAATGATAAAATTCTAGACAGGGAAATAAACCAGTATTGATAGGGATCAGGAAATAGGGGAGGGTGTGACTATAAAAGGGTATGACCACAGGAGTATACTGTGAAAAATTTTATGTCTTGATTGAGATGGCAGTTACACATAAGTCTACTTATATGGTAAAAATTACTTAGGATTGGACATAAATTTTAAATTCCTGGTGCAATCTTACTTATTAACACATAACATCTAGAGAATCTGGTTGAAAATTAGATAAGACTCTATACTATCTTTACAATTTCTTGTGAATCTATAATTATTTTAAAATTTAAAGTTTAAGAATAAAAGCAAACATATTTCACACATCAAAAAATTATATACCCAAGCTAGGTGCAGTGGTATACACCTGTAATCCCAGTGGCTTTGGAGGCTAAGGCAGGAGGATTGCAAGTTCAAAGCCAGCTTCAGCAATTTAGCAAGGCCCTAAGCAACTCAGTGAGACCCTGTCTCAAAAAATAAAAAGGAGTAGGGATGTTGCTCAGTGGTTAAGCCCCTCTGGGTTCAATCCCAAATTTCCAGCATATAAACGATCTCCTGCACAGCTTGGCTCCCTACCTCAGGAGTTGGTGCAGCATAGGCTGTGTATGGAGGGGGTGAAGCAGCCACAACTGTCTCCTCGGAAAGGACTGGTGAGCCAACATAAGCCTGTGTGAGAAAAGACAGTGGGGGATAAGAACATGATGTTTACTTAGCAAATAAAAAGTTAAAGGACATAAAGTCGCAGCTATCTTGGGCTGGGTTTGTGGCTCAGTGGTAAAGTGCTTGTCTAGCACTTGCGAGGCCCTGGGTTCGATCCTCAGCACCACATAAAAATAAATAAGATAAAGGTAGTGTGTCCAACTACAACTAAAAAATAAATATATATTTTTTTAAAGTTACAGCTATCTGGAAAGTAGAAAAACTTCCCCTGATCCAGTAGAGCAACTGGCCCATTAAGACGTCCCCTCAATTCAGGAACAAGGTGGTCCCTCACTATCCAGAAAGGCCCCAGAGGCACCATTGTTATCCAACTCCTTTTAAAAGATACCACACCACTTGACAATCCTTATGTTCACAGTCTAAACCGCAGCAGAGACATCTTACACTCAGTCTGTTTTTTTGCATTAAAAAAAAATTCTTTAAATTACCCGTTAGTGGAAAAGAAAACAATGTTTTCTTTAAAAAGATCCATACAGGACAGTGGGTACAGCTTACTTGAAAGAGTGGGTGCCAAACATGCCTAAGACCCTGGTTTTAATCCCCAGAGTGTGCACACATACGTACGCACACATGATACAAAAATTCTATACAAAGAATCACCCTCAAATTTTTACTATATGGTTAATATTAAAAGTCACCCAAAAAGAGAATTTTCATGGTATGGAGGGTAATGTGACTGAGCTGCAATGTAGCCTGGCAGAAAGAAAACAATGACATTTAGCTATTAGGTTTTCACTTATTAAAAAAATTCTTTTGTAAGCCCAAGTCTCCTTGGAGAGGACAGCAGAGCCAATGAAAGACCCAAATTTTTTTGTAAGCCTTATCTACTTTTTCTTTTCTTTTTACATAAAGAAATAAGAGAAAAATAAAATTACAACTGAAGAATGAAAACAATGGCCAGAGTGAGTTTCCTTAACTCCCTGACACAAAGGTGGCATTTCTAAGCTCTACAAATGGGCTATCTCTGTGACCTCCTGAAAACAGAAACAAGTCTACAGACAAGTCCCCAAAATGCTTTGGTTTTACAAACCTAAGATTCTCTGCATAAAAAAATGAATAGTTTTTTTTTTGAGCCTTTTCCATAGCAGAATTCAAGGTATTACAAAGTTTAAAATATACAAACATTTCTGGAAAACAACACTGGAACTTGCATGTCTATGCAAGACAGTTCCTCCTGCCCAAACATTTGGCACAAACCAACACAATCACTGTTAGCAAAAGGTGCTCTGTTCATTCATGGCTAGATGAGCAAGAAAGCCTTATCTTCCCCAGTTTCCTTTCCCAAACTCCTATTTTCCAATTTGTTACACAAGATCAAGGATGTTAAAAAAAAAAAAAAAAAAAAATTATTGGCAAATGCCATTAGTAACTTACTGTGTTTGTTCTAGAATCTTGCAGTGCAAATTTCCAGGCCCTGTAGAAAAGAAAAAGGGTATTTTATCTGAGGTTATGCAACATTTCAAAGATTCTCAAATCCAGGCTAGGATCAGAATTCCTGAAAAGGCTTAAAAAAGAATAGGTCTTCAGATATTACCCCAAGACCCAATCAATTCATTTAAGACATACACTAGGAATATATAATATACTTATGCACATATATAAAAGATAAGATTATTTTTTACAAATATATCTACGGTAGGTATAAGACTTTAAAATATGCTTACAATTTAATATTTGATCCATTTTTTAATAAATTTGAACTATACTGCAGCTTGTTTTGTCAGTTCATGTTATATACAGATCTATTCATTTTGTTTTTTTTTGTTTTGTTTTGTTTTGTTTTTAAAGAGAGAGTGAGAGAGGAGAGAGAGAGAGAGAGAGAGAGAGAGAGAGAGAGAATTTTAATATTTATTTTTTAGTTCTCGGCAGACACAACATCTTTGTTGGTATGTGGTGCTGAGGATCGAACCCGGGCCGCACGCATGCCAAGCGAGCGCGCTACCGCTTGAGCCACATCCCCAGCCCTGAGATCTATTCATTTTGGGAAGGCTACACAATGAGTAAATGAAGACTGTCAGCAACATTTTCTCATTAAAAACAATGCTCTTATTAACATCCTTATTAGCCTTGTGTAAACAATCATACAGGACAAATTCCAAAGAGTGGAACTGCTTAGGTCAAAAGATAAAACATTTATTTCACTGGGTACTGCCAAGTGGTCCTACATAAAGTTTGTAACAATATTCACAACTACCATTCTTCCCTTATATGGTCATGAAAATTAGATATTTGAGTATGAAATCTCAGGTGCTCATCCCTCGCTTTTTGTACCGACTCCATCCCTCTTCTCTCATCTCTATTAATTCCATTCACTTTATTCTAATCTTACCACTTCCTTGAGTTGAAATTTCAGCTCATTTATTTTCAAATGTTCTGGTTTTCTAACAAATATAATTAAGTTGTGAAATTCCCCCAATGGATTTGATATGCAATGTACAAATGTCATTCACATTGCTAACAGGTATCATAATAGATAATTATGTATCGTATATAAATAGTTTTGTTGGGGATGGAGTTGTAGCTCAGTGGCTGAGTGCTTGCCTTGCACACATGAGGCACTGGGTTCTATTCTTAGCACCACATTAAATTAATAAATAAATAAATAAATAAAGCAATCAATCAAAGATATTATGTCCATCTAAAATGAAAAACCATTTAAAAAATAAGTAAATAAAAATTTGTTTTGCTGTTTTAGGTAGAACAGTCTAATGTGGCTTTAGTCTGCAAATTCAGTTCTACTATTTCAGAATGTTTTTCTTGCAAGTCAGTTTCTAAACACCTCTTTTTGGGTCTAGTACTTTCTGAATATTAATAATCTTTCTGAACTCCTTTAGTTTAACATAGCTTTGGTCTTTATTCCAAATCCTTGAATCTTTTTCCCTGCTTTCACAGAGATTTCCTCTATACTAGCGGTTCATTTTTCAGATGGGCTGTATACTAGGCAAAGTTATGATACCTGCTACCTCCCCACCCCGTACCATAATAGTGGCAATCTTCTAGGCTACAGATTGAAGAGAGCACAGAATAAACAAATCCTTACTCTCACAGAGCATACATTCTACCGACAATAGGCAAAGAACACCAGATAACAGTTAGTAGATGATGAAAGAGTGTGTACACTTACATGTATACAGGGGTATAAGGCTATACTTTTAAATATGAAAACCAGGACAACACTTTTGGAAACTATGTTCTATTCCTTGATTTTATTTTCCTCTTGTCTAGCTTTTTCTCAGACCTGCATTCTTTCCTCATTTTTCCTTTATGGTGGGTTTACATAGTTGCCAAGCATTACTTTGCACACTGCTAATGTTTAACTTGGGAAGTGATACCTAAAACTTCTATTTACTCTGATATGGTATGAGTTATTTCTCCTTTACACCTTTCTACCTGATCTAGTACCAACTGGGAATTCCACCCTACCCCAATTTAGCAACAGTTTGGTAACTAGGTGTGACCCACAGCACTTTTCTATTATCATAGAAGGAAGAGGCAGAAAAGGAAGAAATTTCCTCTGTGACGGAATAAGACTTTTCTGAAATACATGGGTTGTATACTCTCTTCTGAATATTTCTTTCAAAGTTTCATGCTAGGGCTCATATCACCAGTCAGAGAATTATCCACCTCAGGTAAGCTTCAATGCCTTCAGTGTCCTGGCATGAAACTGACAAACCTTCCAGCCTCTGCTGTGATCCCAAGGATATCTATTCTGAAAGGTTTTTCCTGGGCTTTTCCAAAATGCACTCCAGACTGCAGGATTTAATTAATTCTTCTTTTTATTGCTTCTGGGATTTGAGATGGGGTTAAGAACATTGATACACCTCAGACTGTTTTTCTCTTTGGCTGTTCACAATTTGTGCTTGAAGTTTAACTTCTAATAAATAATCATTGTTGCTGGTGAAATATTATCCCTCTCATTTCACTAGGTAGTTGGGGAAGATGATTCAGATTCATTTCATCATCTTTACTCAGAGTGTTTATTATGGATTAAACTGTGTCCAAACTGAAGTCCAAATCCCCATAACCTATGAACATGATCTTGTTTGGAAATAGGGTCTTTGCAGATGAAATCAAATTAAAATGAGATCATATTTTAAGATTGGTCCCTAATCCAATGTGGAAATGTGGACACAGACACACAAGAGAAGAACGCACATGTGAAGAACGCACATTTATTGAGATCAACTCTGCCAGTCTAATTAGCCACCAGTTGATTTCAATATCGTGATTTATCAAGTTTTCTTTTAATGAAGAATGTTTCTGTTCATTTTCATTACTCTAATTTAAAAAGCTTTATCCTTTATATTCTAATTTGTGCCCCTAAAATCAGACAGACAGACAGACACAAACACAGACACACACACACACACACACACACACACACACACATATATACACTTTGCCATCTAGGTTTAAAACGGATCTTCCCCTCTCTTCCAGGTAAAACATGTTTTTATTTCATATTTTTATTTTTTTATTTACATATTTCATATTTTTACCTCTTCTACAAGAAAAACTCCCATGTTTCATTAAATAACCTAAAATTCTAGTTTGAAATATTTCCCATTATTATTTAAAGAAACATTTCACATATGTGACATCTCAGCTCATAATAAAGCAGAGTAGTTAAGGACCAAAGGGCTTAGGAGCCAAATCTTGAGTCCAGTCTACTAACTCTAAAGTCTTTTTTCCGGCGGACACGACATCTTTGCATAGGGTACTGAGGATCTAACCTGGGCTGCACACATGCCAGGCAGCACACTACCGCTTGAGCCACATCCCCAGCCCAAACTCTAAAGTCTTGACAGGCAGAATGATGGCCCCCAAAGATGTCTACTTCCAAACATGGCAAAAGGGACCCTGCATCTATAATTAAGGTTAAAGACCTTGAGATGGATAGATTATCTTGGAAAATCAAGGTAGGACCAAACCAATCAAAAGTCCTTAGAGGCATGTAATCTTTCCTATCTGCAAAGTCAGGTGACAGTGTAAGAAGACAGACACAATTGTTGCTGACTTTGAGGAGTGAGAAAGGGGTCAGGAGTGAAGGAATGCAGGAGACCTCTAGAAGCTAGAAAAGACAAGGATACAGATTCTCTCCTAAAGCATTCAGCAGAATAAGGTCCTGCAGACACTTTTGTGTCTGAATTTGGTGTCAAACATCTTTCTTCCAGAAATGTAATAATACATGTAGATTTGTTTGAAGCTATTAAAATTATGTTAATTAAAGGAGCATATAACAACTAGTTCAGAAGTTACTTAATCTCTCTATGCCTCAACCTTTTATGCCAGGAAAAACAATACCCACTTTATAAAATATGAACAAGTTTAAACAACATCTGAAAAGCAGTTAGCTCCATGACTAGTACAAAGTAAGTGTTTAATATATGTTAGCTTAAATTATTAAGGGGTAGTAGTAGAGTTACAGTTTATAAAAGCAGCAAATTAGCCTGACATGATCATTTCTCCATTAGTCTTCAAGAAAGCCACTCTCTCTCTCTCTCTCTCTCAGAAGATGCTATTTAAGACTCACTGATATAGAGCCTGGAGACGTAGCTCAGTGATAGAGTGCTGCCCTAGCTTGCACAAAAGCCCTAGGTTCAATCTCCAGCACCAGGGGGGAAAAAGACTCACTGATATAAATCAGAGGAACATGGGCTGGGATTGTGGCTCAGCAGTAGAGCACTCGCCTCGCATGGGTGGGACCTAGGTTCGATCCTCAGCACCACATAAAAATAAAGGCATTGTGTTGTGTCTATCTACACCTAAAAAATAAATATTAAAAAAAAATACTTAAAAAAAATTTTTTTTAAATAAAAATAAATAAATAAATCAGAGGAACATAAAAAAGAAGCTACACAGGGGATTTAAAATAAACCCTACTTGGCATGCAGTGAATGTTTAAATTGAGGATGAACAAGGATGTGAATAAAGGGATAGGCATTGAAAAAAGTGGTCTGCAGGCTTTTATGATAATATCATATATGTACAAGTAATTCAGTAATGTCTGCTAGTGAATTCTCATGTCTAGAGTTAACCCACTGTAGGGTACAAAGTGGAGAGAATAAATCCATTCTTCCCCCTAAATTTCATTTAGTGTTGGCAAGTTTCTGATCCAACACCAACAGCAATGTCAACAGGCAGAGGACTAGTGAGGTTGGGCTTTTCTCCTGCAGTTTAGTTCCCTATCCCTTCTTCAAAGATAGCAGATGGGAACAATGACTACCAAAGAAAGCTGCACAAGACAGATGTCTGTGCTTATTAAAGACACATTTACATAAAAAGAATAAGACTGAAAAAACCATTCACTTAAGCCCATTACCCATTATAAATCTTAAAAAGAAGACACAAAGTACAAAGTGATTATTAGAAAGCTATTACTTTCTACTATTTCACCAGAATGGGATCCTGCCCAGGCAGTCCTGGAGGGGAAGAAATTAGAATCAGGAAAAACCCTGATAAATTTCTGTCATGCATCTGCAGAGTCCCTTATTCTATTGCCTGAAGGAAAACTCCACTCCCATTATTTTCCCTTCTGGACCACTGGAAATTAAGACAGAAAATAGTTTTTAAATTAAACATAAGAAATCAAAACTCACAAACAATCATCTGTGCTTTCTGCACAAAGACTGATAGTTTTCCCATCTCGGCAAACAATCTGCAGCAGACAGTCTTTTGGCTTCCCATCTGGAGGCTGAATATCTATGAAAAATAAGAATGAAGGAAGATTTACATGGTTATTTTTTTAACAGCGTAGATAAGAAAAAAATTAAAAACAACAACAACGAAAAAATCAAGTGCTATAATTTAAGAAACAACCTGTGGCCTGACCAAGAAGGCAGAAAAGAAACAGCCAGACTAACTGGCAAAATCAGCAGCCAAGATGACTTTTTTAAAAACTATTCTTTTAAAGCAAATATAAAGGATAATTGCAGGAAACCAAGACATCACAGATTTTAAGACCTGCAGTGGAGCCACCAAACAGATGCTAATTTCTAAGTCATAAAATCAATACAGTCTAGGGTGGCTCCATCCTTCTTGGAGTTCCCAGCAATCTAGTTCCTTCTCCACAAGATGAAGGCATGAGTGTTGAAGAATAATTCAGATGAGAAAATCTACCTGTTCCAATTTTATAAGTCATGATCTAAGGGTCTGGGCCCCACTTCCACCCATGCTATGGCTGCCCCTCCCAGATAGAGTCCTAAAAAAAGATCATCAGGCAAGGAAAAAGATCCAGCTCCCATCAAGAATGAGGAAGAGGGCCAGGTGTAATCCTAGCGGCTCAGAAGACTAAGGTAGGAAGATTCTGAATTCAAAGCCAGCCTCAGCAAATTAGCAACTCAGCGAGACCCTGTCTCTAAATAAAACATAAAAAAGAGTTGTGGATGTGGCTCAGTGGTGCCCTGGGTTCAATCCCAAGTACCAAAAAAAAAAAAAAAGATGAGGAAGAACAGATGATAGAAGTTGGCTAAGGAGGTGGTAGCTTACCCCGACACTCATGCCCTGTGCGGATATTGATGCAATCTACCGGCATATGGACCTTATCCTCAATACTCTGGCGAGTTTGGTCATCATAATAGATCAGGTGACCATCTGACCACAGGTCAAACCAATTCTTCTTCCAGCGCTTCAAAATAGTACCTAAAAAAATAAATGGGAAAGGTTGGCTTTGGGCAGAGTAAACAAAAGATTTTGTCCTCTAAGGACAGAACCAAAGGAAACTCTCCTGTGGTCTACTAAACACACCTGCAGAGAACTGCCTGAAGCAGTTCATCAAAATGGAAGTAGTAGGGGTTCAATCATGAAAGTAGTAGATGTGCTCACTGGTAGAGCAGTTGCCTAGCATGTGTGAGGCACTAGGTTCAATTCTTAGCACCACATAAAAATGAATAAGTAAAACAAAAGTATTTTGTCCATCTACAACTAAAAACATTTTTTTAAGGGGGGGGGGGTAGAAACAAACACCATGGTAGCCTGACCCACACCTGCTGTAACAGCCTGCAGGCAGCATGTACTGTAGACACTGAGCAGGTTGCTAACCAAAGGCCAAGTCCCAAAATAAAAAAGTTAAGGGGGAAAAAAAAGTTTGCTTGAGTTAATGAAAAATAGCTAATATCTAATTTCCCAAGTAGAATTAAGCTAAACTTTAAACGTTTTTGACTTCCTAAACTTTCCCAACATAAGCTAAATTGATCTGAAAATGCTGGACTGGAAAGTCTCTATATGTAATGAAAATAGTATCTTCCTCTCTGGGAAAAAATGTTTATTTTCTTTTTCCTCAAGAGCTTTCATATATACTCTTTTCTAACATTTCCCCTTATAGGAAGCCCACAGCATGTTTGCAGACACACAGGACTGAGACACTGGATAAATGGGTACTCCTATCCTGGCACATCCCACTACCTCATGTTTCTGTCAGTTTGAGAGACCATACTTTCATTTGTAACTTGGACTAGACAATTAACTTTATAAAGCTATAATTTCCTCATCTACCAGAGTGAAACCTGAAAGCGGACTCCGCAGCTAACTTTAGCTACAAGCCATCCCTGAATCTTTCTCACATCCATACACTGCCCACTATACATTCTGTTCCTGCACATCCTAGCCTGTTCTTGGCCAATGTGCAAAACTCTTGTTTCCCATACTTCTGTTTATACTCTCCTGCCTGCTACTGATATGAAACTTGATATCCAGCCTTTCCACTACCTGCATCAGGCACCCTCCTCAATGGGAGGAGTACACAGCACTTGCCAACGCTGTTTAGTGGTGACACCTAGCACTGTGATTGGCAGTGCCTGAATATGCAGAAACTACCAGATTGAGTCATGAAACAGGTGAAATCATCAGGTTAGGGAGTTTTGTTGAAGTATTTCAGAGGCAATCAAAGACCTGACTGCAGACTCCCAAATCAGGCTGCCCCTCGAAGGCCAAGTACTAGGTCCTATGCAGCAATGACAGGAAAATGAATCCTGGGGACTGCCTGGCCTACCCATAAGCACAAGTATATCTCTGCTGTTCTGTAACCAGTAAACGTAATACATCTCACCTCATTTTATGTTACTGAGATTAATATTTCTTCTTTCAACAAAGGAAAATCAATCACATGTTTGAATTGGCCATTAAGAAAACATCTGTTGAATATACATCTCTATAATAGCCATGGGCAAGGACACTAAAAATATCTGGACATCTATTTTGTGTATAAATATCACCATGCTGGGCACTGATGAAGAACACAAAAAATTGTTAAAAGGGTTACAGTTCACTAAAAGTCTACACCATTTACATTCAGCTATAATGGAAAATGACTATCCTCAAACAAGAATGTGATAGGGCCTAATGAGAAAAACAGAAGACATCCAAAGAACCAGCAAAGGAGGAGACTTCCTCAAGGTCTAAACAAGGCTCCCGTGTCCTTGACCACAGGGGAGACTGGAACCAAAAACCCAAAACAAGCAAACTTCACAAAGATTGGGTCGAGGCTCCAATATATAAGGACTTTCTGTACAAATCCAACATTATAATAACTATCTATGCTAAGACTACCAGACCGTCACAGACCTTGAGAGGACATGTGGTTCTGCTCCAGATCTGGTCATACAGAACACACAAATTGAACAATCATCTCTGGATAGAAAGAGTGTTAATGATGAACTCAGTCTTGAGCTTTAATAAAAATCTCTAACAGTTCCTTCACCTTCTGAATATAGGCCTTGTTGCTCTGAGGTTTTTTGTTGTTGTTGTTATTGTTTTTTTAAATGTTTTTTTTCTCTCTTCTCCCTTCCCTAACAAGATTAGGGATACAGTGTTACCTTTTCTTTCCCTAGTTAACAGTCCTTGAACATCCACTAGAGGAAGAAGAGGTGTACTGAGGATCTGGGAAGTGAATGAATATCTCACAAATCAACAAACGAATCCTAACAGCCAACAGGGATCCCTGGGATCTGTACAGAGCACACCTGGAATATAACTCCCCCGCACCCCAACCCTGGTGTCCCTCCCGATGGGGAGAATCACAGCCTTTGGGATAGGAGTCTCCCACGTTTCTCCTTTGCTGGAAAAGCAATAATCCTTCTTTTTTCTTTTTCTCAAAACAGTGTCCTTGTTATTGGATTGGCATCAGAGACAAGGACTAAGCTTTCAGCAACAATTCTACCTTCCATAGTTTGTTTATATCCAAATTACATCATCTCACAAAATCTTAATTTTAAATGGAAACAACAATACCTACTTCATGGAGCTATTGTAAGAATTAAATGAGTATATGAAAAATATTTATAATGGAAACAAAAATAAACTTCATAGACAATTGTTTTTATATAAACTATCCAAGGTATGTAGTTGATTCTTCAATACTAGACTCAATATTAGCTAAGTTCTGCAGGCACCTCTCATGTCTCTGAACAGTAAACCAATTACATGTGCCACAGTTTAGAATTATAAATAATGTGGTAATCACCTTTTCCTTAATTCTACTCTTTCTACGGCAACAAAAGAGTCTATTATTTCTTTAATAAACATAGGCGAGTTTTCATTTTAAAACAGGATGAATCTTTCTTGGAGTGGCAGCCTCAGAGGTGAGCTACTTATGAAAGAAAGATCTGAGACAAGTCTAGGAAAGTGGATCTCTATCACACTTTCTTAAAAGAGATTTAAATTTCTTTTCTGGAGTCCCTTTGGAGATTTATTAAAAAAAAAAAAAAAGTGTGGCTTTTGATAAACTTGTTGCCTCAGGTCCAATCTTCCTCTACATAATTACAAAGCCCTCCTGTATTTCAGAATCTGAGTCACTGCTCAGTCACCAGGTAAGACAGGCATTTCCCACACCCAAAGATGATCAGTACCTCCATGCTATATATAGTACAGGAGCTAGGTGTAGTCAGATTCAGGCAGTCTCAGGTCAACCATTAACAATAAAGTATGCTACTAAGGAAAGAGAAAACAGTAAGGATTGCCATCATTTCCTGTTCTTATCAATTCAACAAGTAAGGAGGAGTTCCAGAAGCTGGAGATACAGCTCAGTTGTACAGTGGCTGCTTAGCATGCGTGTATGAGGTCCTAGGTATGATCCCCAGTACTGAAAGAAAAAAAAAGAGTTCCACGTGTACAAAAAGGTGTTTTATAGTTATGAAAATCCCAAAGAGGAAATTGAGGAAAAACCATAAGAATTGGGGCTGGGGATGTGGCTCAAGCGGTAACGTGCTCGCCTGGCATGCGCGGGGCGCTGGGTTCAATCCTCAGCACCACATAAAAATAAAATTTAAAAAAAGATGTTGTGTCCACCGAAAACTGAAAAATAAATATTAGAAAAATTCTCTCTCTCTTCTCTCTTTAAAAAAAAAATAAGACTTTATGATTTATTTTTAAAAGTCATCTGTTTTAGCAAATAGAAATAGACACAGAACCTAAGGCAGACCCACATGTCCTGTACTCACTCTGTCGCAGCAACCATCCACTCTTCACAAATGCCATCTCTTCACCTATAAGAAGAAAAAGTTCAAAATTATACCCAAAAAGACAATGGTTTATCTGTTCTAAGTCTCAATCCTAAACCCCCTTTGATGTCACCTAAGGAAGAGCCCAAAGACAATGAACCCCACTGATCACCTGGCATTTACCAAATATCATCTTAGTGGGGTTCATACCTGCCCTACCCCACCTTCCATTCTAGGCTTCAGTCTCACCACCCACCCTGATGAGTAAACAGACATGAAGCAGCCTTAAAAGAACCAGGATTCAACACAGATAAGGACTTGGGACTTCTGATAACATTCCTGGGGTCCTAAGGTCTAGTTGTTCCAGCTTTACACCTGATCAGGTTGACATGGCTTAGTCAGATGTGCCACACTGGTGACGGCAGGCAGAGTAGCCAAGTCAGAACAGAAAACTAGGAGTCATCATGAAAAAGCTTGACAGTTTAACTCAATAAAAATAAAAATCTTCTAAATTTTAAAAAAATTTATAACAAATTTGGGAAAAAAACACTATAACCAGATGGCACCAATGAGTAATTTTCCTTCACCTACAAAGCTCCTATATATTATAAAGAAAAGGCAATCACTTGAGAGTTTACCAAAAAAAAAAAAAAAAAAATTGAATAACACAAAAATAAATTCCGAAGAATACACTCAATTTCTCTCTCAATTCAAAAACAAAATTCAAAATGTAAAGTCAACAATTTTACCTATCATCAGCCAGAAAAAAAAGCAAACAAGAGGACAGAGAATGCATATTGCTGCAACCCTTCTGGAGAGGAATTTGACAGAATCTGCCACAATTTAAAAACTGTACCAGGCACAGTGGTGCACACCTGTAATCCCAGCAATTTAGGAAGCTGATGCAAGAGTATCACAATTTCAAGATCAGCCTCAGCAACTTAGTGAGGCTGTAAGAACTTAATGAGGCCCTAAGCAACAAGCAAGACCCTGTCTCAAAACAAAAAATAAAAAGAGCTGAGGATGAAGCTCAGTGGTAAAGCATCCCTGAGTTCAATCCCAGTACCAAAAAAAAAAAAAAAAAAAATTCATATACTTTGACCCAGAAATCCATTACTAGCAATTTGCCTTGTTGATAATATGTGTCAAGATTCAATAAGGTTTTTATATACAAGGATATTCACAGTAACATCACTTATACCACAAAATACTAGACATATCCAGCATGGCCCACAGATGAGTACCTCTATCCAGGGCAGAAAATCAGGCAACAAAAGAGAATGAAGAAATGAGGCAGAAGAACGTATGTAACAAGCACACACATCTCTCTCCTGCTCCACTATGTTCTGAAAGGACTCATGTAATCTATTGAGAACGTATGTCTCCAGGGGAGAAAAGAGGCAAAGCTATAACAGACATGAGGGTGACTAGCCCCATTATACCTTTTTCTGTATTCACACTTGTTTTCAATAATGTGCATGTATTATTATTATTTTTAAGTCAACAGATAGTTTTGGCAACTCAGATCATGGACTACTTTTGTTTTCAACTTTAATTTATTTAGAGGTACTAATTTGAACTCAGGTTTGGAAAGTTAGCATCCTGCAGCAAAAGCTGGTGTGTAAAAGCCAAAATGCAAATAAGTTTCCTTCATACAACTCCATGTACTAAGCATGGGTGAATTCTCACCTTTCTCCAAATATTTAGGAAAAAAGCTCCACACTGTCATCCTATACTCCAGCATCTCAAAACTTCTTTATTCTGAAGGTACTAGGCTCTCCTTACAACTTTTGCCAACTCATCTAATTCATGCTGTCTGCTCTGTCAAGAAAGGAAGTAAGATATTCATTTATCTTTCCCATACTATCTTTTTCTCATTTAGGTTCTTGAACAAATAAACTGTAACCAGAAAGCTATTCTCCCACTTTCTCCGAGTGGATATGAACAGACGGCTGCTGGCAGCCACCTTATAAACAGGATGGGCCAGCCCACAGGTAACTGACCCTTGAGACAGCAGAACTCATTCTGCTGAGCCACCAACTCACCTAACTCTGGAAAACACCCTAATCCAGGGATTCTACTAAGCAAAATTATAGGTCTCTCCACCAAGCTGGGCTGAATCTAGAACTACTAATAGTCTAAAACAATCATTCTTCCATTAAGATTTGAAACAGAGAAATAATGCTATCATATTTTCATTCAACAAATATTTATTTTTATTAATTTTTGTGGTGCTGGGGAGTGAATCTAGGTGCTCACACATGGTAGGCAAATGATCTACCACTGATCTGTAGCCTTGCCCCAAAGACTTTTACAGCAGCTACTATTGTGTTTAGCTTCATAATAGACACTAAGAATACACCAGTGACCAAGTCAAAGCAGGTATATTCATGTAGCTCACCCTCTAGTGGAACAGGTGAAACATAAAAGACAGAATGGAATGCTGTTGACAGTATATCTCTAGAGTAATATTATTATCTCAGAATACAAAAGTGAAAGGGATTATGCATGTATGCTAAATCATAGATATTTATATCATAACTTCCTATCCCCGTAATATCATATAAAAAAGAAAATTACCTAGCTGGGCCCAGTGGCACATGCCTGTAATCCTAGCAGCTCAGGAGCCTAAGGCAGGAGGATCACAAGTTCAAAGTCAGCCTCAGCAACTTAGTGAGGCCCTAAGCAACTCAGTGAGATCCTGTCACTAGATAATATAATAAAGGGTCAGCGATGTGGCTCAGTGGTTAAGTGCTTCTGGGTTCGATCCCAGTACCAAAAAAACAAAATTACCTAGAAAATAAAGGTTGAAAGACAGTTTTAGATAAAGTCTAAAGGATCTAAAGGTTTCCTACTATCTCTGATTATAATCCACTATTTGTATAGGTCAACATCTGATTTTCCAGATATTGTGCCTGTTTTCTTTGGTGTTTTCTTAGTATGAGGGATGGGTTTCTTTTCATATACATAGGGCTCAAAGGATGTCAACAAGGAGAAACTAAACAACTGATTTCAGAATCAAATTCCAGTCCATTTGAATCAAGATTCAAAAAGGAGGGACTGGGATTGTGGCTCAGCAGTAGAGCACTTGCCTAGCATGTGTGAGGCACTGGGTTCAATCCTCAGCACCATATTAAAATGTTATTTTAAAAAAGATTCAAAAAGGAGACTAATAAAAACATCCACATCTAAGGGACATTATAAACATATCTTTGGTATACCTCTATAAAATAGTTCAACACTATTAGAAAAAAGGAAACTGAGATTATTACAAGGAAGAAACTGGAATTGCAATAGAAACTTATGACTTTTGAAAAAGAGAAATTCAGGGCTGGGGATGTGGCTCAAGCGGTAGCGCGCTTGCCTGGCATGCGTGCAGCCCGGGTTCGATCCTCAGCACCACATACAAACAAAGATGTTGTGTCTGCTGAAAACTAAAAAAT